TCCGCGGCACCCCCCCTCCTCCGGCCTTCATCCCACACCGATATCCTCATCCAATTCTTCCCCCCTTCTCCCAATCCGGATCATCCCTCCCTCTGGCCCTCCCTCTTCCTCGTGCCTATCTCCTCACCCGCCCACTTGACGTACCTCCCCTGCATTCGCATTCGACCATCTCGACTTCATTCCCGGCCCCTCCCCATTCCGCCACCTTCCCCCTGCTCGGCGTCGTCGTTGTCGCTGCCGTCGTCGTTGTTGGTCTCGTCGTCTACCTCCCCGCTCCCCGCCCCCCAGGGAGGGAAGGGGGTGGGGGGGTGGCCAGCTCGCTCCTCCATTTGGGGGCGGTGGATCCTGCAGCGGATGGCGAGGGAGGGCGAGGACGGGGGGGCCGCCTGAGCGGCGGCGCCTGGCCCCTGGCCCCCAGCCCGCGGGTTCCGCGACGCCGCTTGGGTCGGGCGGCGGCGCAGCGCATCTGCGATTCTGCGCCGGCGCCGGGCAGAACGCTTTCACAGAGGGGGATGGGAGGGGTTCGGATTCTGTTGCATCGTTCGCATTCCACGTCGATGTTGGACGGTGGCGAGGACGAGGGCGATGGCGAGGATGCTGATGCTGACTTGCAGAGGGCGGGGGTGGGTGGACACCTGGATGGCGACGATGATGGGCGCAGCGATTCGAGTCGGTGATCAAGAGGATGGAGGAGGACATGGTCGAAGACGGCGGCGATGACGACGGGGGAGGGGGAGGGGGCGGCGGCGAAGAAGGACGCCGCCACATGGGGCTCCTTTCGCCTTCATTTCTGCAGGGGCCACGCGGCGCGTAGATTCCGTTTGGTCCGTCGTTGGGCCGTCTTGAGCGCGGGGGCTTCTGGGCTCTGGGATTGACGTCGGGCGGTCTTGGGCCCTGGCCTTCGCGACCGTCTGGAAGGGGGTCTGCAAGGTCAGGGGCCCAGTGTCCTCTTAGGCCGTCTTGGGTCCCTCCTGAGGCGCTCTTGCGTCCATCGTGGGACCTGGGATCTCCGGGGGCCCCCTCAGGCTGTTGAGGTCCTCTTGGAGGCCTCTCGGGATCTCGTCATGAGCCAACTGGAGGTGCGCTTCTGCGATCATTCATGATTCGTGCCTCTTCGGCCTTCGCCTTGGAGGGTGCCTTGGAGCCCTCCTTGGGTCGTCCTGGAGGCTTCTCCGACCGTCCTGAGGCCATCTTGAGGCGTCTTGGGCCGTCTTGCGGCCTCGGTGGCTTCCTGGGTCCGTCTTGGAAGCCGATTGGGCGTCATGGACGCCTTAGGGGCGCGCGTGGGCGCCGACGCATGCGCGGCTCACCATGTGCAAGGGCTCCCTCGAGGGTGCGAAGTTATTCGTGCTTCGCGGCCTGGGCGACGTCAGAGCGAAGCGCGAACTTATTCGCGCTTCGCGGTCTGAGCCTACGACGGTTTCCAGAGCGAAGACGCGCCTCGCATCCTTGGGGCTGGGCCAGTGAGGGATTGCATCGCGGGCTTCGCGGTCTGGGCGACGCCAGCGCGAGGCGCGAAGTTGCTCGCGCTTCGCGCGGGGCCCGTAGAGTTTGGATGAGTTTTTCGCAGGGGGCCAGTGAGTTCGGTTAAGGTTTTCGGAGGGGGGGCCAGGGGTTAGGATAAGGTTTTCGAGCGGAGACCACGGAATTCGGATTAGGTTTTCGCGCGGAACCCTAATAGCGTTGCGACGTGTCGTGCATTGCGCTGCGTTGCTTTGAGTTGCCTCGCATTGCCTTGCATCATTTCACATCGCGAAACACCTAATCAGTTTTTTCTCGGGCCCCGCGCGAAATTATCGCAACTCTACGAAAACCGCTGCCCTAACTCATTGACCCCCCCCCAAACAAAAAACACACACACATCCGAACTGCATTCGCTCCGCGCGAAAACCTAGTCCGAATTCCGAGGGCCCCGCGCGAAAGCCTTATCCAAATTCCCGGCCCCCCCTACTCCTACGGAGCCTTATCCGAATTCATCGGTCCCAACACGATAACGCGCATCCGAATTCCATGGGTTCCGCGCGAAAATATATTCCGAATTCCTTGGGCATTTTCCCGAATGCCCTATCCTAGCGCCCGGCCCCCCTACGAAAACCATATCCAAACTCGCTGGTCGCTGGCCCCCCCTGCGAAAACCGGATCCGAACTCCAGGGCTCCGCGCGAGAACCGAATCCCAATTCCCTGGGCTCCGCCCGAAAACCTTATCCTAACTCCAGTGTAACTCCAGGCCCCCCAACGAAAACCTTATATTAACCAACTGGGTTCCTGCAAAATCCACGTCCGAACACCATGGGCTCCGCGCGAAAACCTAATCCGACTTCCTTGGGCTCAGCCCGAAAACCTCATCCTAACTCCTGCCCCCCACCCCCACGCACACACGCGCACACGCACGCACACGCACACGCACACACACACACACACACGCACCCATGAAAACCTTATCCTAACTGCCCCCCCCCCTCTCGACGAAAACCACATTTGAAATGCATGGGCCCCGCGCGAAGACCTAGCTGGAACGCCCGGGCCTCCGCCAGAAAGCTTGCGAATTCCATGTGCCCCGCGCGGAACCGAATCCGAATTCCAAGGGCTCCGCCCGGAAACCTTATCCTACTCCCAGCCCCCCCTACGAAGTCCTTATCCAATCGGGCGGGCCCCCTGCGAAAACCATATCTGAACTCCATGGGCCCCGCGCCAAAACCTAATCCCAATTCCTTGGGCTCCGCCCGGAAACCTTATCCTGATTCCCAGCCCCCCTACGAAATCCTTATAGTATCTCACTGCCCCCCCCCCCCCCTGCGAAAACCATATCCGAACTCCATAGGCTCCGCACGAAAACCTAAACCGAATTCCGATTCCTTGGGCCCCGCGCCAACTCCGGGCCCCCCAACGAAAACCTTATCCCAACCAGCTGGCCGCCCCGCGAAAACCATGTCCGAACTCCGTGATCTCCGCGCGAAGACCTATTCGAAATTCCTTGCCCCCCCCCCGGCCCCCCCACCCCCCCCACACACACGCGCGCACACACACACGCAAATCTTAACCCACTGGCCCACTGCCCCCCCTGCGAAAATCATATCCGAACTCCATGGGCTCCGCGCGAAAACCTAATCCCATGTCCTATTTCCTTGGGCTCCGCGCGAAAGCCTCATCCTAATTCCTATCTCATTGCCCTCCTGCGAAAACCATTTCCGAACTCCATGGGCTCCGCGCGAAAACCTGATCCTAATTCTTTGGGCTCCGCGCGAAAGCCATATCCTGACTCCCGCCCCCCCCTGCGAAAACCTTATCATAACCCACTTGCCGCCATGCGAAAACCACATCCGAACCCCATGGGCTCCGCGCGAAACCCTATTCTGCATTCCTTGGGCCCCGCCCGAAAAGCTTATCTCAAATCCCAGCCCCCTCCCCCCCCCACGAAAACCTCATCCTAACCCACTGACCCCCCCCCCGTGAAAACCGCGCCCGGACTCCATGGGCTCCGCGCGAAATCCAAATCGGTTGTCCTTGCGAACCGCCCGAAAATTTAATTTAACTCTCGCCCCCCCCCCCGGACGAAGATCTATCCTTGTCCTAACTCACTGGCCCCCGTGCGAAAACCATATCCGAACTCCATGGGCGCCGCTCGAAAACCCAGTCCGAATTTCTTGGGGCCTGCGAGAAGATCTCATCGGAAGTCTGGTGCCAAAACTTTATCCTAACCAACTGGGCGCCCTACGAAAACCACGTCAAGACTCCTGGGGCTCCGCGCGAAACCTATTCCGAATTTGATGGTCTCCGCTCGAAAGCCTTCTCCTAATTTTACGAAAATCTTATCAGAAATCATTGGGCTCCGCACGAAAAGCATTCCCAACTTCGAGGGCCGGCAATCCTCCCTCGTCGTCCTGTCCCCACGTCCATTTCAGTCCTCATCCTCTGCATGCCTTGCGGGCCTCGGACTCTTCCATCGCCCCGCGCCCTTGTCTTGTTCCCCCGGGGGAAGCGCGAAAGGCTCGAAGATATTCGCGCCCCGCGCTTCGCGAGCCCCTCGTCTTGTCCCAGGGCCCAGGGGGGGGCGCGAAAGCGCATAGTTATTCGCGCTTCGCGCAGCGCGAAGCGCGAAGCTAGGAACCCTTGATTCGGCATCCTTGCGTTCAACAGCGTGCTGGGGTGGATGTTTAAGGGGCTGAACAGGGGATTGCATGGTCGTCGGTGACGGGGTCAGGGGGCCGCTGCGTGCTTTTGAAGCTTTTTGCAGCGGCCGCGTGGACAGCCGTCGCTGTTCGCCCTGTCGCGGGGCTACGCGCCCGCGAAAACGCAGAGTGGCCCCTTGGGGCGGGCCGTGATTGGAAATGAAGTGCGCTTCTCCTCGCCATTCCCTCGTCATTGCTGTATTCGCCCAGGCCACCAGTTGTTCATCTCCCCCTCTCACTACAGCTTGAAAGGCCAAATGTGCCCCAGGTCCCCCCTCTGAAAACCATCGTCTTCAGGGGCCATTATTTGGTATTTCCCGGGGGGGGTCGCCGATAACCAACAAGGGGGGCGGAGCAGCTGGGAGGAGGGCCAGCCGAGACTGAGCGGATTCTCGGGGGAGAAAAAGATACGGATACGTGTTGTCCCCCGTCGTTTTCGGCCTTTCCTGGTCCTCCTGGGGAATCCTCGTTGTCACCGATGGATTCGCCTCGAAGTTCTGGTCCCAAGAGAGGTCCAGGGACAACACGTATCCGTATCTTTCCGCCCCCCAAGATTGAGCGGACTCGGGCCCGGGCGGGAGAGCCCTCCTCCGATCGCATCGGCGCTGGATGCCCACGCCCCGGGCGCGCTGCGCGCGCCAGGGAGGGGGAGTCCAGCGCAGATGCACTGGATCTTCGGGCGGGCCTTGGGGCGGGGCCAGGACCAGAATGATTCGTTCCAGAGCGTTCCGGAACGCTCTCAGAGCGTTCTGGAGCGCTCTGGATCGGCCCCAGCGCCCGATACATCTTGCAGAACCGCCTGATCTCGGAGATCCCCGATGTATCCCAGTCTGGCTTTGTTTTGGTCATGGCCTCGCCTCGTAGACCTCCGAAAGCGAGCGCATGTTTGTGCCGACGTTTTCTCCTCCGGCGTCCAGCTCGTGGTGATCCTCGGCCACCAGGGCTGCCTGGGCGGCCTGCTGCTCCTCGGCAGGTTCTGGCGCTGGGTCGGCCCCCACCCTCGCGGCCGCGCCCCGCCCGCCTCCCCTTTGTGCACCCTGCGCGAGCATCGAGGCTCCGCGGCTCGAGGATGAGCAGATGATGGTGGTTGTGGTGATGGCGGCGACGATGACGTGGTTGGGACGAGGGTCCGACGAGGGTGAGTGGTGATGCTGCTGACGACAACGATGATTCGACGGAGAACAAGCTGCATGAACACACGCTCTTGGAGGTTCGCACAGTTTTCTCTGGATCGGCGTTGGACCCCCTCCCTGTCGCGAGGAGAGCGATCGGGGCGGCGCTGGGGGCGCTGCCAGGAGGTCAAATGCCGTTCCAAGGAAATCGCCCGTGCCCTCGAAAGTGTTGTTTCATCAGTTTTGTTATTCTTCTTACGAAAACGAGGAGCAGCCAAGATCGAGGAACGAGGAACACGGGGGAGATAGAAAGAGCGAGGAAGGGCGAGGAGCGAGGAGGAGAAGAAGGAGGAGGTGGGTAGGGAGGAGGAGGGTAGGGAAGAGGAGGGTAGGGAGGAGGAGGGGGAAGAGCAGGAGGAGGAGGAGCAGGAGGAGGAGGAGGAGGAGGAGGAGGAGGAGGAGGAGGTGGAAGGAGAGCGAGGAGCTCAGCCCCGCAGCCTGGCTGCTGCGCGCGCCGCCTCGCCGCCGCGGAGGTCGGCTCGGACGCGCGCGGCGACCTCGGCGAGGGCAAGGACCGGGTGCGCGGCGGGCGGGCCCCCTGCCGCGCGACCTCCCCCGGGCAGGGGAACGGAGATCGGGAATCGTGTCGTTTGCAACGGGGACACCATCGGACGGGGCCAGGACGATCTCCCCCCCCAAAAAAAACTCAACAAACAAAAAACTATAAAAAAAGCTCTCAACAAAAAAAAACTCAAAAAAAAGTCGGACGGGGCCAGGACGAGGGTTCCAGAGCGTTCCAGAACGCTCCTGGAGCGTTCCGGAGCACTCTGAGGAGGCCGCGACGCCCGAGACATCTTCCAGAGCCGCCGGATGTCATACATTCTCGATTTATCCTTACCTGGCTTTATTATTAACGTCCTGGCATGACGCGCGCAAGCCCCCCCCCATGCATAAGTCAGAGGGGACCGAAGTACCGACAACGGTGCGTGTGCCCTCTCGCCGTGGCCAGATTCGCCTCGGAGTCCTCGTCAGACCGCGCTTCGGACAGAGTCCTGGAAGTACCGTGATGTTGTGCCCCCCCCCCCCCCCGAACGCTACCCCCGACAGGAGGGGGCGTCCGCTATCCACCCCCTCCCACTCTTACATGCTTGTGGTGGTGCTCGTGCGCTACGGTGGTGCCCACAGGCATAATTCGGTGGCGACAGCAGGCATGCCGCGATGCTCACAGTCCTGTTGTGGCGGCGGTGCTCTCTGGAACTGTGGTGGTGTTGGCTGTGCTGCTGTGCTCGCAGGCATGTCGCGGGTGTTTGCATGCGTGCTGCGGCGGTTGCAACCTAGCACGGCAATGCTACGCTGTGGTGCTAGCAGGCAATCGGGAATTGAGCAGCGTAGAGCCCGGCATGCCCCAGCGGCAAAGGGTTCGCGGGATGCCGATGCCAGTTTCTCAGTGCGTGCCGCGATCCAGGCCGCGGTGGGAGGAGGCGGAGCGTGGCCGAGGTGGCCGCCCGTGGTTCCGCCCCTGTCCCGTCCCCGGGGCCCCCGCCCTCTGGCGTGAACACGACGTAGTGGAGCGAGCGGGGCCCTCCTCCTCCTCCTCCTCCTCCTCCTCCGCCTCCTCCTCCTCCTCCTCCTCCTGTTACACCTCCTCCGTGTAGATTGGGCTTTCGCCCGTTCCCGTGCCCACACATATGGCTGCGGAAATATGACGGTGCGCAAAGGGGTGTCTGCACATCAGAGCCGGCGCCGTCATCGTCACCGCATCATGGAGGGGCGGGACCCTTGCACGGGTTTGACCGTGACGGCGAAGTGACAGTTTTGTTTGGATCCGATCTCTTCGCGATCTTCGTTCGAGAAGGATGTCTGTTGGCCAAGTCGGTGTGCGTTCTGGAGGCCTACCTACATAGCCCGCCATGCAGAAGGACGACGACTACGATGGCGGGTATGAGTATTGGGCGACGTGTGGGGGGAGGGGGAGGGGCGCACAAGAGATGAGGACAGGAAGGGGGAAGACGAGGAGGAAGGGGTCAAGGTGGAGCAGGGCAAGCACCCACGCCGACTGGCGGCGACACGGGGCCCCTGGCGGCCAGAAGCGGCGCCCCCCTCCGGGGGCGCGGCCGCGCCGAGGATCCAGAGCCCGGCGCGGGGCCCAGGCTGTGCGACCAGTGCGTGGAGGAGCCCCCGCCAGCATCGCCCGCTCTGCCGGATGGGGCCGCTCAGTCGACCTCGCCGAGCGCGTTCCAGTAATCGCAAAGTGCCTACTCGCAGGCGTTCGAAAAAGAGCATATGTTTGCCTCGATACTAGATGTCGTAAATCTACCGCGGGGGATCCAGGCAATTCGCTTGTTACTCTGCGAGTAGTGGAACGCGCTTGTTTGCGACCGGTGCTCAGTCCCCCCAGACGGTGTGGTGACCTCGCCGCGTGGCAAGTCAGCTGGGGTTTCGGGATCGCCGCGCGGCTATTGGGTCTCGGGTCGTTGTTCGAAGACGGCTCCAGCGACCTCCAGGGCACCAAGACCGTGCGGTGACGGACCGCGCGGTGAGGGCTTTGGGTATTCTGAGGTCACCACGCGGCTCGTCACCGCACAGGTTGGGGGCCCTGAAGGCACGACCGAAGTCGAAGGAGAGGAAACGGCATCAACATACACTTTCAGAGATTCGCGCGGATTTCTTGGTTCGGCGTTGGGATCCCCTCCTTGGCGCGCGGAGCGCGGCAAGGGTGGCGCCTGCGGCGCCGCTCCATTTTTGGTATCATCACCAAGGGGCGCCTCTCAGACACCGCCGAGGAGGAGGAGGAGGAGGAGGAGGAGGAGGAGGAGGAGGAGGAGGAGGAGGAGGAGGAGGAGGAGGAGAGAGGAGGGAGGAGGGAAAAACGTCGCATTCGATTATCAGCACCTTCCTGGCGTGGCGTCTAGTTGTCCGCAGCACATCCTCACGTACATGCTCCTTCTACTTGTCCTTTGCACGCACGCGTTGTGGTGTACACCAGCGCTGCGTTGCACGCGGATGCTGTGGTGTAGACACGCGCTGTGGCCTGCACAGGCGCTGTGGTGCACGCAAGCATTGTGGTGTACAGAGGCGCTGTAGTTGCACACGGTTGTTGCGGTGTACGTAGGCGCTGTGGTAAACACGCGCGCTGTGGTGCACGCGAGCGCTGTGGTGTACACAGGCGCAGTGGGGCAGATCGCCACCTACATGCTGCTCGCGTCGTCGTCGTCGTCGTCGTCGCTCGTCGCGTCGCGCGCGCGGGCGTGGCTGCGGTGCTGGAGCCACACGGCGGGGGGGGGCGTTACATCATACCCCCTTCGCCCCCCCCCACCCATGACGCCTGTCATCGCCGAACATAAAGAGACGCGCGTCAGTACGAGGGCAACCGCGGCAGACGCGAGCCGTGACACGTGAGCCGTGCCCTGATTTCGCCGCCCGCGCTCGTTTGTTTTTCTATACCCCTTGCTTCTCTTCTTCTTATTATGTTTTATCATTGTTAGTGTTGTTTTTTTCGTCTTATGCTTATTATGCTTAGTTTTCTCACTCGTCTTACGTAGTTCTAGTTGCAGCTGCACCAGGTCATGCTCTTGCGCATGGACGGTGCTGTTTCGTTCGACTCCATGCGCCGCGCCGCCCCTTCCTCCTCCCCCCTCCCTTCCCCTTCCTCATTTCGTCGTCTGCTGGGTGGTCGGTCGCGTGTGGCCTCCTCTCTGGCCGCCCCTTCTGACTTTTCGACATGGTCACCACCTCCAAGAGGTATTCCGTGACAGTTTCATTGTGCCGTTGCACAGCTATCGCCCCAAGGAGAAATTCTGTTGAGAGCGAAAAAAAAATCCTCTCCGGCCGCCCCGCGTAGAACACGAAGGTGCGCGTGCTGAGCGCGTGTGCCTGTTCGTTGGTCGAGGCTTGGCCTCCCCATCCGCTCGTCTCGCCCCTCGCTCGCTCTTCGTCTTTGACGTCAAGCTGCTGGCTGCTCTCCTCCCTCCTCCCCTCTCTTCCCCCCCTCCCCTTCCCCTCCTCCCCCGCCCTCCCCCCTCCTCCCCTCCCCCCCCCTCCCTCTGCCCCCTCCCCCCTCCTCCCGCGCCCCCTGCCGCTAGCTACACAATCCGAATACTTCTCTCCTCTCTTCCCTTACTCATTCAGGCGAGTGTCCCGTCCTCTCCGCGCACAGGATTTCATGTCTTAGCTTTTCCCGATGTAATTATTTCAGCCGGGTCGTGTCTGGTTCTTCCAAAACGGTGTCCCCGCTGCCGCGCCGCTCTTACTTAAGCGCTCCGGTCATTCAACATCGTGTTCCTGCTGCGGCGCCGGCCTTGTTCCCGCGCCTCCGGACGGCACTTGGCATTCGAAAGCGCCCACATTGGGCAGGCACGGTTGCGGGGGACATGGGGCCGGCATTCCATGCAGGCCTTGTCCTCTCGTAGACGGGCCATTTACCCTTCAGGTCATCCGGTGCCATGCCACGACATGCAATGCGATGCTGTGTTGTGCATCGTTGTGCGATGCCATGCTTTGCGTTGCTATGCGTTGTGATGCCATGATTCACTACGCAATGCCACACCATCCTGTGACAGGCTATGCTCTGCCGTGCTCTTCTACGCCATGCTTCTCCATCCATCGCGTACCCCCTTGGGATCCTGCCCTGCTCGATATCCGACGGTGCGAATCTATAGGAGGTCAACGCCAAGGTAAGGGACGGGAGGGAGGCGTGAGATGTGACGCTAGCTCACCTAGGTTGTCCCCCTCCCGCTCAACCCCTCCCCCTCCCTCCTCCCCTCTCCCCCCCCCTCCCTCCCCCCCACCGCATCAACCTCCTTCGTCTCGGCGGCTTTCAGTGCGAGATTCCCTGCGCCAGGGCGGCACGCGACCCTGCCCGCCGCAGCGCGCCTGACGAGGGCGACGATTGTGGAGTCGCCGCCCTCCTCGCTCCCTCCTCCCCCCTCGTCTCCGCCTGGTCGCTGTCGACCCATCCCGCCGAGAATCATTCGGCCGTCTTGCAGATTCGCGCCCCCCTCGCGGGGACGCCCCCTCTTCTCCGCCTGGTCGCTGTCGACCCATCCCGCCGAGAATCACGCGGCCGTCTTGAGGTTCGCGCCCCCCTCGCGGGGACGCCCCCCTTCTCCGCCTGGTCGCCGTCGACCCATCCCGCCGAGAATCATGAGGCTGTCTTGCAGGTTCGCGCCCCCCCCCCCCCGGGGAGGCGCAAGCAGATCTCGTCTTGCGCGACGCCGCGCGCTCCTGGCTCCATGCTGTCGGCAGGCATGCCTTCGGCGGTGGAGGCCAGGGAACCCGCCTCCTGCGCGTGCAGCCGCCTCCCTCCTCTCTCCTGCTCTCCTCCCCTCCCGTCCCTTGGACTGCACTGGTCTGCGGGATCCTCGAGCCTCGATCCTCGATGATCGATTCTCGGTCCTCGATGCCCCCCCCTCTCCGAGCGAGACCAGTATGTAAGGCTCCGGCCCGACGATAGCCCGGGTTCCCGGGCCGGCCCGCACCCCCCCCCGTCCCCCCTGGATAACCTGACCCTGCCTCTTCCGCAGGTCCGACGGGGGTACGCAGTACGCGCGGGCACACGCCACGCGGGGCTGCCCACGGCGAAGAGGTCAGGTTGTCGCCCGCCCCCCCCCCCACACACACACACCAGATAACCCGAGCTGTCGCCGTCTTGTTGTAGAATAAGTTTCTACCAAAGAAAGTAACTCCAGGAGGAGCCAGAGCGAGGGAGGCCGCGCCCATCCCGCCTCCCCCCCCTTCGCCGCGCCGCGCTTGCGTCTCCGCCGCGAGGCCGCGGAGGCCCGGTCCTGGGCGCTGTCGCTGGCGCTCCTCGTCTGCGGTCAGGCGGTGGGCTGCCGCCGCCGCCGCTCTCGGCCCTGGGGGGGGGGGCCCTCGCCTCGGAGGCAGAGGTGCCCATGCCTCGAAGAAGAATCGGGGGTGGACAAAACCCCCAACAGTGACACGTCGATTAGTGAATTGTCCGTTTTCGGTTCCCGATAGGGCGCCGCGGCCGTTATTTTCCAGGCTTGCGCCCGCCAGGTTTGGGCCTCAGGTCGTTTTCACTGAACCACGTTTTACTAAAGGGAGGTCTGTCCACCCCCGAAAGAAATTACAGCACAAACAGAAAAACTTGTGGCGTTCCGCGCGGATTTCTTGGGTCCTCGCTGGGCCCCCCCAGGCGGCGAGCCTCCAGCGCCGCCCCTGGCGCGCTCCGCGCGCCAGGGAGAGCGCGGTCCAGCGCGGATCCAAGAAAGCCGCGCGGGGCGCCAAAAGTTTATGTTTATGTTGTTTGTTCTTCTCCTGATACCGCTACCCTTCGCCCGTTGGCCCCGTTTTGGGCTTTCGTCGCCACCGTTGGAGTCGCCTCGAGATCCTGGTCAGCACGCACGCCAGGCCGGAAGAGGTCCGGGGAGCATCGGTATCAATGCCTTCTGGTCTCCCCATGGGGGGGGGGCCCTCGCGGGGCCCCGCGGATCGTCAACAAAACGGCTCGGGATGAGAAGCTGGCCCTGGGGACGGGGCCGGCCACTTCCCGGGCAAGGTGCTCCCTATCCCAAGGTGCCCCGGGGTCTTCGCCCCCTCTCGGAACCGCTGGGCCCCCTCTCGGGCTTCGCGAGGGGTGTTCTGGAGGCCGTGGGGGCCTTCCTGGAAATCCTGGGGATGCCTTGGGCCAGGCACACTTCCGGTAACTCCCGGGTCGTCGCCGTCGTCGTCGTGGCCGTCGCCGTCGCCGTCGCCGTCGCCGTCGCCGTCGCCGCCGCCGCCGCCGCCGCCGCCGCCGCCGTCGTCGTCGTCGTCGTCGTCGTCGTCGTCGTCGTCGTCGTCGTCGTCGTCGTCGTCGTCGTCGTGCGGCGGCGGCGGCGTTTTAGTCGTCGTCGTCATCGTCGTCGTCGTCGCTGCCGTTGCCGCCGCTGCCGCCGTCCTCCTTCCCCGCCTCCCCTCCCCGTCCCCGTCTTTCACGGCCGCTCACCCGGCAGGGGTCCTCACATGCCAATTTTGTCATGTGCCTTAGGAATGAAACGCCAAAGCCCGAATGCCGCCCCCCTCCCAGGCGTGCTCTCCCGGGTCGTTCACCTGGGAGCCTCCTGGCTAGAAGGGCTTGCACGAACAGATTTTTAGAGACCGCCTGCCCGTGGAACTGGCGACGCCGGGTGGCTTCATACTTTCACAGCGCCCGGCTGCGGTGGCGTCGGCGCGTACTTTTCCTGCCCATGCAGCTCTGACGTGCACGGCGTCTTCTCTCTTCAGCTCCCTCTTTCTACCCTGTTTTCATGGTCTCTCCCGCCTCCCTCGCCTCCTTCAACGCCTTCCCTGACTGCTGTCAGAAGACGGCGTCGTCGTCGGCGTCGTCGTATTGTTTGTGCTTCTCTGGGCCTCCAGAGGCCTTCGGGGGGGCCTCCCATGGCCTCTGGATGCTCCCGGAAACTTCGGGGGCCTCGGTAGACCCCCAGGCTGCCGCGGGGGGCCGCGTCACTGTCGTCGTCGTCGTCGTCGTCGTCGTCGTCGTTGTTGTTGTTGTTGTTGTTGTTGTGTTGCTGTTGTTGTTGTTGTTGTTGTTGTTGTTGTTGTTGTTGTTGAAGTTGTTGTTGTTGTTGTTGTTGTTGTTGTTGTTGTTGTCGTCGTCGTCGTCGTCGTCGTCGTCGTCGTCGTCGTCGTCGTTGTTGTTGTTGTTGTTGTTGTTGTTGTTGTTGTTGTTGTTGTTGTTGAAGTTGTTGTTGTTGTTGTTGTTGTTGTTGTTGTTGTTGTTGTTGTTGTTGTTGTTGTTGTTGTTGAATTCTCATTCCTGAAGAATAATTATTGTTGATCCCCCCACCGGTGCATACCGTTTTTTCTCGATCAAAGTGCCCCTCGACGCTCGCACCCGGTTTTTTGACAGGGAAAGTCTTGATGCTCAAACTGCGCCCCTGGCCCCCGGCTTACAACAACAACGGCTCCCGCCTGATATTTCTTCACAATTTAGCCAGGACCCCCGCTTCCGCTGGAGACTTCCTCGCATTTTATTCAGGAATCGCGCTGTCGCTTTGGACTTCCTTATCATTTATTCAGGAATCGCTCTCCCGGCGCTCTGGAGTCGCTCTCTCGCTGGAGACTTGCTTGCAATTTACTGAAGAATAGCGCCCTTGCGTTGGAATTTCCAGCAATTTGCTCAAGCGCCGCGCTCCCGACACCCAGGCGCCCCATGTGCGTGCCCTTCGTGGCCCCGCTGTCGCCGTTTGTGGCCCCCTCACTGTCCTACGTGGCCCACTTGCTACCCTCAGTGGCCCCATCGTTGTCTTCTGTGGCCCCGCATTATCTGCCCTTCGTGGCCCCCGCTCGTTCGCGCTCTTCGTGGTCCCATACGCATTCCCTTCGGGTCCCCGCTGTCGCCCTTCGTGGCCTACTTCGTGTCCTTCGTGGCCCTGCTGTCGTTCTCTCTCGCTCTCGCTTTCGCTCGTCGTCGCCATCGTCGTCGTCGTCGCCGTCGTCGTCGTCGACGTCGTCGTCGTCGTCGCGGCCGGTCCCCTGTCCGTCCCTCTTGTGGTCGGGTCGACGGTCCGCGGCCGCCCCGCCGATCAGCGCTGCCGCTGGCCAGGCCGACGATCCGCGGCCGGCCCGGCTGCTTGCCGGGGCCCGGCCTGCAGGGAAGAAAGGAATACCCCCCAAAAGGGGTTCGATCGAAGACGAAGAGGGCGGGTACCGAGGGTTTGGGAAGTACGCGCCAGTGGACACTCGAGCAGATAAGGGCGAACAGTCTTATAATGATTGTTGTTGTTGTTGTTGTTGTTGTTGTGGTTGTTGTTGTTGTTGGTGTTGTTGTTGTTGTTGTTGTTGTTGGTGTTGGTGTTGGTGTTGTTGTTGTTGCTGTTGTTGTTGTTGTTGTTGTTGTTAATGAGTTTCAGCCTCTTTCTGTCTTCAAGGGGCCCCACATGAACCACACGATGTTACTCTTATTCCTAATCCTATCCCCGAGGAGCACCCAGGGCAGGGCTTTCGGATACGACAGTTCTGGGTGGAACGCGAGGCACAAAACCAGATGCGATGATAGGCCAGGATGCGTTACGACATCGGGCACAACGTGTCATGAATGAGTTGGGAATCGCAATTCGTCCCGCAAGGATTGCGCAAATAAGCACTGCCAGAACAAACAAAAGAGGCAACACACCAAGCTTCTGCAGGGCGTCACCGTCATCCTGCTGGCCATTCCTCGCACAGAGTGCGATTCTATCGTCGGGGAGTTCGCGGCATCTCGTCAGCCCTCCTCCTCCTCCTCCTCCTCCTCCTGCTTCTCCTCCTCCTCCTCCTCCTCCTCCCCATCCTCCAACAGAGGCGCTTGAAACAATAAAACATAATCCTACCCCCCGCCCCCTGGCTGACGGATCGTCATCGCACTTCTCCTCTGGAGGCCTCTGGGGGCCCCCACAAGTCTCCCTGTCCCCCCCCCGGGGCCCTCGGTGCCCTCGACGCCCCTGGAGGCCCTCCGCGAAGATGTCGACAGACGGCCTCGTCTCCCTCGGCCTTCGGGTTCGTGCCCAGCGCACCCCCCCTCCCCGAGCCCCTGCGGAGGCCCTCCGCGGAGGCCCTTCGCGAGGGCCTTCCGCGGAGGGCCGGGGCCCTCCGACGGCTCCCGGATGGGCCCTCGGGGAGTTCTCTCGGCGAGAGCCCTCCCCGGAGGCCCCCCCCGCCCGCGCGGCCCAGGCGCCCCCGGGCGCCGCCGAGGGCGGCCCCGCCGGGCTGCTGTGGCTGTGGGCCGCCGCCGCGGTGGCACTGCACCTCGTGGTCGCGGCGTGCCGCGAGGCGGGTCGGCGCCCGAGGTGGGAGGAGGAAGAGGTACTCCAGATTTCGTAATAAAGGGAGGGGGGTCTCACTTCGGGGGGGGGTCTCTTCCAGGCTATCTTGGAGGGCCTGGGGGGGTCTGGGGACGATGTTTTGGAGGGTTCTCCCACCGGGGGGGGGTCCAAAACTTCTCGTCTGGGAGGGTTGAGACCCCCTCCCTTTTTTACGAAATGGTCGGGGCGCACCCGGGGAGAGGTCCGGGGAGAAGCGGTATTGGTACTTTTTGGTTTTCCCCAGAGGGGCCCCTCAGTCAGGATGCAGTTCTTGGGGGGTCACATGCTGCATCGGCGCTGGTAGGTCCGTGGTCGAGAACCAACCTGATCTGGCACGACCCGTTTCATGTCCGCTCGATCTCTTCGGATCCGGCGCAATTTGGCTCAATCCTGGGCTCGCTCGGGCTTTATCCAGCGTGGTGGCCCCTTCGTAGGCGCTAATCCGGCTCAGTAGCCCGTACTCGTTCTGGCGAAGGTCTCCACAGGAGTCGCCTCCTAAACTCGGAGGGGCTCGACGTGTACACCGTCCGGGTCTGGTCGGGCCAAGGCGCCAGGGAGTTCGGCGACGGAATTCGGTGTGTAGAGCCTAGCGTTCCGGCAGACGTCCCCGCAGCTGGAGAGACTGGGGCGTCTGTGCCCTAAGTTCGTTTTGGTTCTTTGGCCGGACAGGCGAGAGTACAATAATCAAGCATCGAGAATACATTTCCCTTACCCTTAATAACCCCTACCCTTAATCCCCGCATGTGCATCGGGGGTAATCAATATGGGTGTTTCCCCCCTATCCCTATTTTTTGCGTCGTCGTCGTCGTAGCCACGGCTGGGGTGCAGGGCGAACAGGTTGGCTATGGCGGGCACTTGGAGGGGTGCGGTGACGGGATCTGTTTTGAGAGGATTTGGGTCGTCGTCGTTTGGTGTTCCTTCACCGCTTCTCGTGTGTTCTTCATCGTTTCCTTCTTCGTTCATTGCGCTGTCTCCATTTAATAATTAATAATTACGGTTCCCTTCCTTGTCATAGCACAGCGCGCAAACCACTTCACACAACGCGCTCAACACAACACACAGCGCACTACACATATCATACAAGACACATCAAGCACGTGCAACACGCGCAAGCACGCTCCTCGCAAGCGGCAACGTACCCACACACGTACGCACGCACACGCAACCAAGAGAGCGTACGCATGCACAAATAACGGACAACTCACATACGGACACACACAGAGACACACAGACACGCACAGACACACACAGACGCACACACACACACGGACACACAAACACACATTCACACACACACACGCACGCACGCACGCACACACGCACGCACACACGCACATTCACACACACACACACACACACGCACGCACGCACGCACGCACGCATGCACGCACGCACACACACAGCACACAGCACACAGCACACAGCACACAGCACACAGCACACAGCACACAGCAAACAGCAAACAGCACAGCACACAGCACACAGTACACAGCACACAGCACACAGCACACAGCACGCAGCACACAGCACGTAGCACGCAGCACGCAGCACGCAGCACGCAGCACGCAGCACGCAGCACGCAGCACGCAGCACACGGCACACAGCACACAGCACAGACGCCCCAATAGCATTCCAAGACGACACCCAAGAGAGTCCCGCGAAGCAGATATTTTCTCATTCCTCCAGGAATGCGTGCATAGGCATATTTGCTTCCAGGACCTTCACAGCAAAAAAAATCTGCCCAGGAGGTCCCCTCGGACTGCCCTCAGCAGGGCCCCAGGGCCGCCGGTCCACATATGGCCCAAGACGGCCCAGACGAGCTCCTAAAGGGACGCAAGATGGGGATTTTGAACTGACATTTGGAGCCCTTCGGTCCCAGAGGGTCCCCGAGGCCCTCATGAGGCCTCCAGAAGGTGCACAAAGGACCCAAGAGGGTCCAATTGACGGTCCAGAAGGCGCTCAAGACGGCCCAACACAGGCCCCCAAAGGGCCCCAAGATGGACTCACTATGGGGATTTCCAGCTGACATTTGGAGCCCTCCGACCCCAGAAGATCTTCGAGGCTGCCATCAGGCCCCCAAGACGAAACAACTTTCTGTTGCGCCCTGACAGCCCTAAATCGTGCCAACACACAGTTCCTGGGACGTTAGCTATAATACTGCTTGGAACTCTTGCAAACATTAAAGACGGATGGGCCACATTGTCTAAAGGTACTGCCCTCAAATCGTGAAGCTCTTGCAGTTCGTTAACACGGCAAGGCGAGGGCCGTAATTTGAAAAGGTACCGCGCTCCATTCGCGAAACTCTTGCACATGCTTTGGACGAGTGTTCGCGGCGCAAAAGCGAGAGCCACATCTTGAAAAGTTGTGCCTTCCATCAGTGAAATGGTTTTTAATGTGCGCGGCGCTAAGGCGAGAATTTTTTTCATTTTCAGCTACAGGACCCCAGATCTTATGGAGATCAGGCGAACCGCCCGACCTGCGCTACCGACACGTCTCATGGCCTGACAGGGAGGAGTTATTCTTGAAATGGGATGGATGACGAGGAGGAGGAAGAGGAGGAGGAGTACGAAGAGGGAGGAGGTAGGAGAGCCGTTTTCAGCGTTTGCCAGACGACTCAGAGGTTGCATTAACAGCTTTTCAAAGCCTTGGGACATGCACCGCCTGATCAATTACATCTGCCATCGCCTCACACACTCCATCAGTACGCCTCCGGCACTTGCACACCGCATTCAACACGCCATAACCATTGAATGAGCGCCTGAACGAACAATTGTTCTGCAACCTTCCATGCAATGTATCATTACTCCTGATCTGCCAAGTCAGCTGGGAGGATGAGGAGGAGGAGGGCCGAGGAGATGGAAGAGGAAGATGCGGAGGTGGAGGAGGAGGAGGAAGAGGAGGAGGATACGATACAGGACCTTGTGTTTCCTCGCCTGCGCCCTGCGGACACTGGGTGACCGCGGCCCCCATTTAAGTTCTGAGCCCATGTTTCCCATGCAAATTCTGATACTCAGGCACCCATGTAAATTTCGAGGCCGAGTTGTCTATTGTTTCTTGTTTTGGGGAACCAGCATATTTGGGTATCCATGTGAATTCCAGGGCCGAGGTGTTCATGTATATTCCAAGGCTGAGGTGTCCATACGAATCCTGAGGACAAGGTGCCCCCATAAGCCTACAAGGCAGCCCCGAGGCATGTCGATAAACGAAAAGGACGGGACTGGACTCTGAGTGTCCATGTGTGTGTGTGGGGGGGGAGGATCGACTACAATATGAGCGCGCGCGAAGCGCGCGATGGTTGTATTTACATGTTGCAACAACAAGCACCAACCACGCCATCTCATGTTATATTCTGCAGCTTCCCGTGGCAGGCCAGCACGGCAGGCCAACGCAATGAGCCGACACCATGTGCGGTCGTCTGCCGGGTTGTCTTTTGTTCGTGTTGTTCGTGCCCTCGACCAGAAGAAATTCTCCCACAAGCTCAGTGAAGAGCCGTTCTTGTCGGTTCAGGCTACATGTTGGGCTGCGTTGGAAGTCCACCACGTACAGACATTATTTGCTCATTGATGGGCCCTCGCGTTCTGTTCACTGACTAGACTTGCCCAGGGTGGTAGTACTGCTTGCTTAAGGTTGGGGCTGGGCTGGTGAGTGCGGCCAGATTGTTAGTGTTGCCAGAACTCTATTCTCTTGCCTGATTATGGTCATCCCGCTGCAACCCGCAGAGCCAGCGAGATCTTCGTGTTGCCATTACTGAATGTCAAGGCTCGTTTTTGAGCATCCGGGTACAACCCTTGCAGCCACTTGCAACACTGCGTCACCAGACATCCCTTCCTGGACTTGATTATGATCATCCAGGTGCAACCCTTGCATTCGGCCAGGTCTTCAACGTCCATGTTGCCAGAACGTTGCGCCCTGGACTGAGTGTGATGATTGTCAGCCAGATCTTTGCAGCCGGCGTTCTCCCAGGTCCACTCCAGGGCCTGATTTTGCACGTCCAAAGCCGACCTCCCCGCGTTTGGTGCTCTGCATGTTGCCCGAACTCTTCTCCTGGGCCCGATTTAGATCATTGAGGGCTGACTCTCCTTTGGTGCTCGTGATGCTCGAGCCCCATATCCAGCCCAGCTCCAGCTCCAACCTCGCTCCAGCCCAGCTCCAACTCCACCCCCACCCTCAAGCCCAGCTCAGGCTCCAGCTCCAGCACAAGCCCAGCCGTAGCTGTGGCCACAGGTCCAGCCCAAGTCTGAGGTCCGTCTCCAGCTTTGCGCCAGCCCCAGCTACAGGCCCGCCTCCACCTCGAGCTCCAGCCTCAGGCTGCATCAGCTCCGTCTCCAGCCTCAGCCGAGCTCCTTCCCAGCTACAGCTCCAGCTCTCTCTCTCCCGAGCCGTTTCAGCTCCACCCCAAGTTCCGACCCCAGCTCCAGACCCAGCAGCAGTTGCACCCCCAGCCTAGCTCCACCTCCAGGTTCAGCTCCTGCCAGCGCTAGCCCCAGCCCCAGCCTCAGCTCAAGATCCAGCTCCAGCTTTGCTCCAGCTCCAGCCCAAACTCCAGTTCTGCGTTCAGCTCAAGCTCCAACTCCAGCCGAGCTTCTGCCCAGTGCGAGCTCCAACTCCAGGTCCAGCCCACATTCAGCTCCAGCCCAGCTCCTGCTCCAGTTCCAGCCGATACCCAGTTCCAGCTTCGCTTCAGCCCCAGCTCCAACCTCATCTCCATATGTGATTTGACTGTGCCCCCAGCTCCAGGTCCAGGTCCAGCCGAGCTCCTGCCTAGCTCCAGCCGAGGTGCAGCTCCTGTTCGGCTCCAGGTTCAGCCCAGCTCTCGCCAGCTCCAGGTCCAGCCTTGCGTCCTCGCGAGCGTCGTCCTGCTCAGGTTCTGTTTGTTGTCAAGAGTACATGTCCTAGATTGCATAGTTCAGACTTCGCAGCTGACTTCTTCCTCCAGTGTAGATAGAAAATCCCTGGTTGCATCCCCCAAGGAACAGATCCCAGTTGGGCTGTTCCGACTCATAATCCAACTACGTTTGAGAGCACACATTGCATGCGTATAACGCTAGCGCCTTTACTCGCACATGACGTCTATCTGCGCTTCCACATCATATGCCTAGAGTCATACAGCACAGTTCCCGAAAACCAGCACAGTTGGTTCTCCGTCCCACTTTGCGAACATCATTATCGCGAGCGTCGTCTTGGACTCGCTTACGCAGGGCCTGGGGGAGAAATTGCGGAGGGGAGGAGGAAAGAGGAGGATAGTGGGAGAAAGGAGGAGGAGGAGGATAGTGGACGAAGCGGGAGGAGGAGGAGGAGGAGGAGGAGGAGGAGGAGGAGGAAGAGGAAGAGAAGGAGGAAGAGGGCGACGACGATAATGAGCAACAGGCGGATGAGGACAAGGACGGCGAGGAGGGTCAGGGGGAGGGGGCAGGATGAAGGGGGTCAGGGTCACGGCGAGGAGGGTCAGGGGGAGGGGGCAGGATGAAGGGGGTCAGGGGACCGTCCACAGGTCTCTCCTTCCTCTTCTTCCCCACGCCCCTGTGCCCTTCCAGTCTGTGGGGCTGAAGCTCAGCCCCCCGCGATCTGTGCATGGAGTGCTGCGCAGCCCTGCGCCCTCGCCGCCGAATGGGCGCAGGCCTCTTGGGGCCCCTTCGGAGGGTTGGGCAGGGCGTGCCAATGGGAAATCGCGCCGATCCTGCACGATCTCTCCAGAAGCGTGGAAGGCAGTGCTCTGTCTTCAGGGAACGAACAGTGACATAAGCATACAAACTCGGTGGTCCGCGCGGATTTCTCGGATCGGCGCTGGACCCCCTTCCGTGTCGCGCGGAGCGCGCCAGGGGCGGCGCCGGAGGCCCTGCCAGGGGAGTCCAGCGCCGATCCGAGAAATCCGCGCGGACCTCCGAAAATTTATGTTTATGTCATTCTTCGCTGCCCCATGTGTGCAGCAGAAATTCTTGCCCCCACCCCTCCCGGGCCTCAAGGCGTCGCGAACGAATCGAGGCGTCTCCTCTGCGGGAATCTCGGCAATCTTCCAGACCTCTCGGGGCCTCCGGGGAACGACCTGGAACGAAGAGCCAGTCCCTGGCAGAGGTTCCGGATCTCTGGTTCCAAATCCCAAGCCGTGGTACAGAGTCTACGTCAGACGTCCAGCGCTTTTTATTCGGACTTGGAGGTCCCCATGTTAGTTGGAGACCGTTTCTTTTCCCCCAGCGAAAGACGGGCGTGAGCGGGAGGGGGGGGAGGGGGGGGCGTTGACCCAGGGGGGGAGGGGAGGTGGGCGGTGCTGGTCACGGGGCGTTATCGCGAATAATAAGACGGGGATCCTGGGTCCCCTGAAGCCCCTCACATGGCAAAAAGTTGGCCGTCCCAGTTGTTGTCGAGCCGCCAGATGTCCGGGGAGGTGTGGGACCCTTGCCTCGCCGCGCGCCGTTAGCGCTCCCTGCGCCTGGGCTGGGCTGCGCGGGTTGGAGCTCAGCATCGTGAGGCTTATCCCTAGTTTCTGGGGGAAAGGAGAGCGACACCACCTCGGGCGACGAAATCTACACATATCCACTGCTCCCTGGCTAGGCCCATCCTAAACCCAGGAGCTGTGTTTACGCCCTCCTGGACAAGCCAGGAGGGCGTGGCGTAGCCACCGCTCCTGGGTTCAGAATGGGCCTGGCCAGGGAGCAGTGGATATGTGTGTCGATTTCCTTGCCCAGCCATTACCACCTGGGTGCCTGGGAGGTCCATGATGCCTCCCCGAGCTGGGGATCGGGGATGTCTCGAGTGAGGGGGGGGACCGCACCACCAGGAGGCCCCCCCTGGCTTCTCGTGCTGGTGGTTTGGTGGTGGTGCCGATTTTCCTTTTAGGGGAATGTCGGGCCGATCTCCCTGGGTGGGGATGTATTTCCTGTCCGCCGGGCTTCGCGGCGTCCATCCCCACCTCGAGGGCGTACAGTCAAGACGCTGAGACAGGGGCCACTTCGGGTTCAGGAGGGGGCTCCGGTCTGCGGGCCGCTCCTTAGATCTAGGCAGGTCGCCCTGGCCAGAAACGCCCCTTCGATTCTTACCGCTCTTTGTGGCTCCTGGCAGTGCGATGACTGAACGCTGGCGGCGCGAAGGAACCCCGACCCTTCGAGATGAGGCCAAATCCGCTCATAGTCGGTCCGGGCCCCTGCCGAGATCTTGCTGGTGCACGTTGTTCATCCATGATTCGTTTTGGATTGTCTCGGGGTCCGAAAACGGCCGCCCGAACAGGCATGACAGCTTGTATCGGATCCAGAACTTGGAGCCCGCTCGCGTCCTTCCTGCTGGCCAGAACTGGTGCTGGGCCACCTGATTTCCAGCCGGTCCAACCCCGCCGAATGCGGACGTGGTATTGTCAACCCGCAGAGTAAGGATAGTAAGAATGAGCGACTTTCCAAGGCTCCCATTGCACCCTTCCCCTTCGGCTCATCCTTGGCTGCTTCTGCTGGCCGCGCCCCGCTCCCAAAGTGTCGACGTGGCCCTCCAGGGCCTGCGACCTGCTCGTGCATCCTCGTTCAACGGGCCGGCTGTGGGTACGCCTGGCGATGCCGAGGAGCAGACGCTTCCCGCGGCCCGCGCGCCACGGGCGATGGCGGCGAGGGGCATTGCGGACATGTCCGCCGAGGACCCGCGCCGAGGGCCCGTACCGTTTTCGTCGGCTCATGGAGGGGCGTCTGGTCATCGAGAAGGAAAGACCCCCTCACCCTCATGACATGACGAAGACGTAGCCTGACTGAGGTCCCCGTCTTTGCATTGGGGTCATAAGTCTGGGTGGTTCGGTACGACGTATTTGCTGGAAAGACCTCCCATCCCTGATGTTTTTGGCCCTCCTAAGTTGAATCCCCTCCCGAGTATTTTTACTGCTGATCGCCTGGTGCGTGGCCAGGACGACGCATCGGCCCTCCTCCAAGCGGGGCGCAAGCAGAACTTCCGCTGAGCTCCGCGCGGATTTCTCGGGTCAGCGCCGGGCGCCGAGCGCGCCAGGGGCGGTGCCGGAGACGCCACCAAGGGGGGGCCCAGCGCCGATCCGAGAAATCCGTGCGGAGCGCCGAAAGTTTCTGTTTGTGCAGCCGTTTTTGTCCTTCCATGTTCGAGGTTCGGCAATTCCCGTACGCTCTCGTCGGCTCATGGAGGTTTCTCAGCTTCTCGATGCGTTCCAGAGGGCCCGAAATCGTCCCGTGCGGCCGCCGGAGGCCCGAGGCACGACTCGAAGGTTGGGCGGCCCGTTGCTGCAGCGACCTCCGCTGCTCGGTTTTGGACTGATGGGCTAGTTCTCAACCACCACTACCATGGACGGGAGAGAGGAGGATGGGGAGGTTTTCCTCCTCCTGTTCTTTCTCCTCCTCCTTCACCTCCTCCTCCTCCTCCTCCTCCTTCTCGTTCGTTCTGGCTCGGGCTTTTCAGCCTGCGTTTGCAACAGCCGTCTTCAGAGCGGTAATCGCTGTTGCGGGCCACTGGCTCGGTGTTCAGGCCGAGGGACCTCATCCCTCCTCTTTGTGAGCTCCTGCTGGAGCACAGTCCACGTTGCCTTGGGCTGCCGCATGGGGCAATATCCTGATGTCCTCACTGACCCGAAGCAGCCTATGTGGGGATGTCTTTCTTGCGGGAACAATTCGAAATCTCCCTCCCGCATCAGGCGTCTGTGTGGCAGGAAGGCCCCGCAGTCGGTCATTGATCGTGCTAAGAAGCAGGCCTAGGAGTTCAATCCTATGCCCAAGCGTGCGCAACATCGAGCTCCTGGTTGCTGTTGGCCTCGTGGTCTTGCTGACACCATCAACTTTGTCGTGCATCAATTCGGAAATCAACAAAAACAGACGCAGACATTCGCCAAGCAATTCAACTGTCCAGGAGCCCGTGCAAACCCAGTAGCTGCACTTTCAGATTTTGCTGACGGAGGTGCTGTTGCTGCCACGGACGAAACTAGACGTACTCTTTTGGCCAAGATCAGGTCCCTGGAAGCGGCGCTCCAGGGGATCAAGATTGATGAGCTCCCGGCTACCATGAAGCAAGCCATGGGGAAGGAGCTCGTTGACGCGCGCAAAGAGCTCGTTGACGCGCGCACCGAGCCGTCCTTGTCCCGACACACGGTATTGGGGCACAAGTTGCAGAGCTGCCCAGCGGCAAGTTCGAGGAGCTTGCGGGGGACATCAAGACCCAGCAGGCGCTCTTCGTCACGTCGCAGGGTGAGCTGCAGTCCATGAAGGACGGGGAAGGCTCGCCTGGTGTGAGCAACGATCGAGGCCACCACGCTGGAGCTCCAGTCCACGATGGCCCAGGTGCTTCCACAGAGTGCGGCGCGTATGCTGGTTTTGGACGCTGACACCGTCGCGGGCAAGCCATAAGTGCAGAGGCTCATGCAGTCCAGGGAGTTCGCAGAGTACCCGATGCTCCTCGGGGCCCAGTACAAGGCACGGGCCTCCCAAACTCTTCCTCCTGCAGCGTCCTCGTCGCACGGGGAGTCTCTCGGTGCGGACACCCATGGGGCAGATGAGGGAGTGTCCACGCCCGTCCCGCTGGACACAGATTTTGACGACCCTTCGGATGTGGGCATTGATCAGCTTATTGCAGCGGCCAGGGGAGATGCTGATAAGAAACGCATATTCCCATAACTTATCCGAGAGATGGTGATCAGGACTGAGAAGCAAAAGTGCGGGGGACATTCTGTTCAGGCCCTGCTCGCACATGTTGCGGGATACCTCTCTCCTGCACAGGCGTCGTGTTCCTCCACTGAAAAGGGGCCCCGTCCAGGTGTGCTGCTGGCGATTGTCAGTATTCCACCGAGAGCTTCAACGGCTCGCGCTGGGCCAGTTTGAAGCCACGGTTGTGCGAGAGTTCAGCAGTTCCCATCTGCGCGCAGGAAGTCGGAACGCCCCCATGAGTTCATTGGCAGGGCCAACGACAGGGCTCGACGACTCGGGTGGCATGATTTTCTGCGCCATGCTATTACAATACTGATACAGGTCGAACTTTGGCTGGAGTGGCGGTCTTTGGCCGATTGAGTGCTCGGATTCGTTGGATTCCTGAAGGTGATGCCCCCGTGGCGCCCCGTCGCGTTTTCAAAGTTTCGGTGGGCTTCCCTGGAGGGCCCGCGATTTCACTTTTCTCGGTCTACTTACCTGAGCGGCTGAAGGTTTGGGCATCATTATCGCGGGTTTGCTGGCCGAGCTGGGCTCAGCGGTGCCGGGCCCCACGCGCTCCATCATCGCGGGCGAATTCAACGTGGCCCCGGAGGTTTTGGAAGGATCAGGGTTTGTTCTCGCGTTAGGAGCGGTGGCTATGGCGCCGTCTATGCCCACATGCAGGCCCCCCTCCTCGAGCTCCATCGTCGATGTCATTCGCCGCGGGCCCTGGAGTTGCTCGTCTGGTCCAAGATGTTGAAACTGATGCGTTTGGGGAAACCAGGCCTCTTCGTCTAGTCTCGCCCACCGTCCGCCCCGATGCGTCATGCGTCAAGCAGTCGGTCCACGCGTGTCTCCAGAGGCTTCCTTTCGAGCTGCCCCGCGGGCCCCGACCTGATGAGGGGCGTTTTTGTTTTTATTATGTTATTTTGTTTTGTTCCGCCGCCTCGCCGCGCGCGCAGCTGCTCACGCTCGCAACCGCCCTGCAGGCGAAGCGCGGCCCACTTCTGAATGCAGCATGGCCCTTCTGTGCCGATGTCGCATAACTCGAGATGGCACGCTTCCCGGGGGTCGAGGCCACGGCCCCGGAAGGGAGGGGCAACGCCATCAAGGTCTCGTGGGGGCCCGCGTTCTATGGGGTCTGTTCTTGATGGCGTTGGCTCTACCGTGCGCCTGCCGAGTTCGGGCCGGCCACCGAGCGCCTCGCGGACCGCGGGCCCCAGGTTCCGGTCTTCAAGAAATCGTTGCAGTACTCCTGTCCTGAAGAGGGTCTCGGCATTGGATGCCCCCTATGAAGCAGATTTGAGCGCTCGCCCTCGAGCGGCGATTAGACCTTCCCCGGTTGCAGGAGTGGCGCGCGAGACCCGAGTCGTCCTGGGAAGATGTTGCCGACGACCTCTCAGGTGCCCATGGCTGCGGGGGGGGCTCCAACAGCTGTCTTGGGGCGCCTGGCAACGCGAGGCCCTTGCAGGGCCCGCTCGTTCGATGCGTCGTCTTACTAGATGGCAGCAGAACTGGCAACCTACGTCTGCGCTGGATTTCCCGATGACGATGACCCTGTCTTGCCGCTTGAGGATGGAACTCCCGAGCTCGGAGGCGCCCGGGAAGACATTCTCACTCCGCCCGAGGGTTGGATGCCAGATCGCAATTGTTCGAAGCGGTGGGCTCCCGACCATATTCGCGCGGCATCGAGGTTCATCGGCATGCGCGCCGCGCAGTCCATAGATTCTTTGGTCGCGTGCCATTTCAGCCTCCTGAGCGACGCCGGCCTGGGGGTCAGGGCTGTAGTCTTCGAGGCGATCGAACGACTCGACCTGTTCCCATCGCAGCCGCCGTGGATGCGAGTGCCGCTGCTAGAGAAGCCCCAAGGAGACCAATCCTTCTGCTCGCCGCCCCTGTTCGTATCTGGCAACGGTTGGGGCGCTCGGAGGCCGATGAGTTCCCCGAGCGCCCCCGCAGGCCCCACTGGTCTTTTGGGGAGGGGCAGCCCTCGGAGGCGACGGTTTGGAAGCAGTGCCCTTTGGCGGAAGAAGCAGCCAGTGGCCGCGGTGTCGCGGCGGGCTCAGCACGGGGCGAGCAGCAATGCTACGACTCCGTTCGGCTTTCCTGGCCTCGGGCACGAGCTGGGCAGTGGGGGCCCCCCCGGGCGCCCGCCAAGACCCCGTGCAACCTCCTGGCGCAGTCCTCGCATGCTGTGCCTTGGGGCCATCGTAGCCCCCTGCCACAGTTCGCGGTCGCGGGCTACCTGCAGGTGGCATATTTTACGATTTGCGCTCTCTCTCTCTCTCTCTCTCTCTCTCTCTCTCTCTCTCTCTCTCTCTCTCTCTCTCTCTCTCTCTCTCTCTCTCTCTTTTTTTTTTTTTTTTTTTTTTTTCTCTCTCTCTCTCTCTCTCTCTCTCTCTCTCTCTCTCTCTCTCTCTCTCTCTCTCTCTCTCTCTCTCTTTTTTTTTTTTTTTTTTTTTTTTTTTTTGTTTTTCTCTCTCTCTCTCTCTCTCTCTATCTCTATCTCTCTCCCTTTTTTATTTTTTGTTCATGCTCGATTTCGACCAGTTTTGCATTCGCATTCCGAAGGTTTCGCTCGGCTCGCACATCGATGGCGCGGCCATTATGTCTGGATCCCCAGTGTTCGTGGTCAGTGCGCTCGCCGCCGCCGATGCTGACCTAGAGGCAGTATTGTCGGATCGCCGGGATGCGGAGCTGGCCGAATTCAAGGCCGCCGCGTTCGCGTCGACCTAGTGCGCGGCCGCCCGCCTGGCCAAGAAGCTCGCCCGACACTGCCCCTCGGTTGCGCGCAGCTCCGTCGTTCCCTTCGGCTGCGACCTGGCGCCAGGGCAGCGGCGGGCAACGGCGCCGGGCTTGGCCAAGCGAAAGAAATGATTACACGGCGATGCAACCACGACATGTATCCGTCAAGTTGTTTCGGGGCAATGTCCAAGGGGCCGATCTCGAAAGAACATGACATGCATTGCGGGGGTCAGACCTGCTGCTGGATGCGGGCCCATGGCCC